TTGCAAATCTCAGCTGGAATAGAATCAGCACCAGGCACTTTGCCACAAAAAAGGAGCCCAGTGGCATTCAAAACCTCTCCTTCAGTTGGAAGTTAGGTTAGAAAAAAAGGATATGTAAAACACTCAAATAGCTCATTACAGTCAATACTGACCCTGCAAAGTAAAGACTATCCAGCAAAATATAAAAATATTGACTAAAAACTGTTCTTTTGCTGTAGATTTGTACTCCATTTTACTTGTATTGTGAATGTGTGCTGTTGGTTGAAAGGAGAGTGGAGGAATGGAGTGTGAATGGTTCACTGCAATCTGTCCTTACTGCTTCAAGAATAGTCCAAAGTACATTCCTTATTTAAGTGGATCATTAATAGCATCATTATAAACAAAGGATGGAACATTTAGGAATCTTGAGGACAGAGATTATGTATTTAAAAATTATATTGTCAATTTCACTTAGTGTAACAGCATGCATAAGTTGTATGTTTTGGGTAAAAAATTCTAAATCTGACCTATCAAATTAGGGCATCCTAAACAAAAATCATGATTGCAGGAACTGGTTGTTGTTGTTTGGTTGTTTTCAGTCTTGTCTGACTCTTTTTATTTAGCAATATTTAACAAGGAGGGAGCTTTGGCCGGGGAATGGGATTAGTAAAAGGAGAAGAAAAGGCCAATGGCAGGAGCTAGATAGAAAAGGAGAATGACATTAGGGCATGAGATAACCTTTGATACTATCAGCATATTGGGATTCACATTGTTTGCACCTAAAATGTTTCATCATCAATGTGATTTAGCAAATTTGGGGTTTTCGTGGCAATGATACTGGAGTGGTTTGCCATCCTTCTCTAGTTCATTTTATAGATGAAGAAACTGAGGCTCACTGGGTTAAGTGACTTGCCCTGGGTCACACAGCTAGTAAGTGTCTGGAATTGGATAGAACATTAAATGAAAGTAAACCCAGTATAGAGTGAGTAATTTCCATTGGGATGATCATCTCAACTACATGAAAGTCAAGATTTCTTAGGAGACACTCCTTTTTTCCACTTTCTGTGGCCTTTCCTACCTACTTGTCTCTAGGATACAGCATGAAACCTGAGATTATAAAGTCAGGAGTCAGGACTCAGGATGGCCTGAGACTGCCCTGAGGCTGACTGGGATAATAACAGTTCCTCAATGACATCCCAATAGAGGGTAGGATATCCTTGCATAGTTTTCTTTTTATATAATCTTTTATTTTTCCCCATATTGAAATGATTTAAAAAACTTTTTTTAAAGTTTTGACTTCCAAATTCTAACCTACCCTCCCTCCCTCCTTCCTTGTCCTCTCCCCTCCCTGAGATGGTAAGCAATTTGATATATGTTATCCATGTGCAGTCATGTAAAACATTCCCGTATTAGTTATTTTGTACAAGAAGATGAATAAGAAAGAAAGAAGGAAGGAAGGAAGGAAAGAGAAAAATATCATACTTTGGTTTATATTTAGAGAGTATCAGTTCTTTCTCTGGAGGTGGATAGTATGCTTCATCATGGCTCCTTTGAGATTGTCTTGGATCATTGTATTACTGAGAATAGCTAAGTCATTCACAGTTTTTCATCATACAATATTGCTGTTACTGTGTACAACATTCTCCTGGTTCTGCTCATTTTGCTCTGCATCAGTTCATGTAAGTCTTTCCAGGTTTTTCTGCTTTAAATTTCTTATAACACAATACTTTTCCATCACAACCATATTCCACAGCTTGGTTAGCCATTCCCCTATTGATGAGCATCCTCTTGATTTCCATTTTTCAGACAAAAGAGCAGCTATAAATATTTTAGTATAACTAGGTCCTTTTCCCTTTTTGGGGGGGGTGCTATCTTTGGGATACAGAGCTAGCAACAGTATTGCTGAATCAAAAGGTAGCACAGTTTTATAGCCCTTTGGGCATAGTTCTAAATTGCTCTCCAGAATGGCTGGATTGGTTCACAACTCTACCAATAGCTTGCATAGCTTTCTAAAGGATCACTTCTCTATGCCTTTAATATCATAGGATACCAGGATTCAGAGAAGTAGAATAGTACAGTCAGTGGAACGCTGGACTTGGAGTTCAGAAGACTTGGATTCAAATCCAGTTCCTGGCCCTTGTTAACTGTGTGACTACCGGCAAGTTGCTTACCTGAGCTCTAAATCACTTTTCTTTAAAGAGGCGACAGTCATCCAGAGGTATCACCATCTTCTCAGGGTTGTCAGAAGGCTCCAATGAGACAATGTGTACAGAGCAGTTTGTAAGCTTTCATAAAATGACAGTTGTTGTTATCATCTTGAGGCAGAAGGGACTTGAGAGATGAGTCATCTCATCCAGGGGTTCTTAGCTGGATAGATTTCATGGGGTATGTGCATCTTTGTTCTCATCAACCTTTCATTTTCTTCATGATCCTGTGTGTTTTATTTTACACATTTAAAAACATGATTCTTGGGGCAGCTCGGTGGTGCAGTGGATAGAGTTCCAGCCTTGGAGTCAGGAGGACCTGGGTTCAAATCTAGCTTCAGATACTTCACACTTACTAGTTGTGTGACCTTGGACAAATCACTTAACCCCTATTGCCTCACCCAAAACAAACAAATAAAGACATGATTCTCAGAGGGGGTTTATAGCTTTCACCAGACTGCCAAATGGGTCTATGACACACAAAATAAGGAGCTAGGTGGTGCAGTGGATAGAGTGCTAGTCCTAGAGTTAGAAAGCCACATTTTCCTGAGTTCAAATCTGGCCTCAGACACTTATTAGCTGTATGACCCTGGGAAAGTCACTTAACCCTGTTTGCCTGTGTTCCTCATCTATAAAATGAGCTGGAGAGAAAAATGGCAAACCACTCTAGTATCTCTGCCAAGAAAATCCCCAAAAAGGGGTCACAAAGAGTCAGACATGTCTTAAAACAACATGATTTAATCCAACCCTCTCATTTTACAATTTGAATAAACTGTGACCTATTTGAAGGGACTACATAGGGAGTAACATAGTTTCCATGAATTTTTTTCTCCTTTTGTATTATAAATGATAGTTGTTTCCTAATGCTATTTAAACTATTTTAAAAGGGGGGAGCATCAATGATTCTATCGCTAATTTTATCCTTGCAATACAGAGGACAAGGAGAATACTGGTTTACTTCATTCTAGCTCTGAAATGAGAACTTAGACAATTGTTTGATATTTCAACTTTGTCTTAATTTTTTTTTATTGTTTAGTAGATTTTGAAAAAACCCACCAAACAAAATAACTGATTGAGGGAGGAACCTGGGTCTACAGTCCAAATTAAATATTAGCCCACTATATACCTCCTGATTTGAAACAAATATACACAGAAGAAATTTGCTAAATCACATTGATGATGAAACATTTTAGGTGCAAATAATGTGAATCCCAATATGCTGATGGTATCAAAGGTTATCTCATGCCCTAATGTGATTCTCCTTTTGTATCTAGCTCCTGCCATTGGCCTTTTCTTCTCCTTTTACTAATCCCATTCCCCACCCAAAGCTCCCTCCTTGTTAAATACTGCTAAATAAAAATGTAAGGTCCCATTGCTTAACCTCTGGGGAGTATTGGTTTTGTTTCATTGGTAGCAGTAAAGTATTTAAATGTGGCTTTTGTTACTAAGCAATTAGCAAAACCATCAATGTGCTGGTTGTTGCTTTAGAGACCAGAATTCATGCCAAAAGGGAATAGTGATCTTTCTTAACTTTAAAAAAAAAATAATGCATATATGGGAGACATATCTAAATGCAGTTATCATGGTTCCTAATCATGGCTTTCACATTTTGCTATTTTTGAAGTGTTTGACATTAGGTTTTGGGTGATCTTTTGTTCTTCCCTAATATAAATTTGTTTCTCTATCCCAGTTTTCCTTTCAACCTGATTACTTTTAATTTTTATTGCCTCAAATTATAGAAGGATCCAAACACACTTGGAATGCAATGATAAATTAGAAGGTGTTGCTGTTAGGAGTGCGTTATCTTCTTACCTGTATAATATGGTTTATTTATTATTTTGGCCATAGTAGAAGATTCTAGGATCAGTGTGAATAGGGATTCCCTAGAAGTCATTGTATCTAGGCTACCATACATATAAACATCACATTTCTATCCTGAAGGCTCTAGAAAATTGTACTCTTCTGTAGCCGAAATGTTCCAGGAATGATTTTTCACTTTTAAAATCCTTTCCTGGAAAAAAAATCCATTTTCTCTGCTGTAACTTGGGAAACTTGATTCACTAACAGTCCATCTGGTTGTTATGTAACAACTTCATAAAGGCAGAAATACCTTTTACAATAATTAGTGTGGTCAAAGAAGACTTGAAAACAAAGAGGCATGCTTTCCTTTTAAGAGGAAACTATGTTAAAACTGTACTTCAACAACTGCAAACCAAAGGCAGAATTTAGCTTTGGCTTTCTTTTAGTGATAAGCTCAAACAGATATATATAGACAGAGAAACCTGTAGTGGACAAGAGAAAAAAAAATAAACAAATTTAAAAAAAAAGAAAGAAAGAAAGAAAGAAGAAAACAAAAGAAATACTGAAAAGAAACAAGGAGAAATACCTTGTAACAAAGACAAATTATGCTACAATCCTTTCTCCCACTCCAAATCAATTATTAGTCTCTCACATTTCCTTAGGAGAGTTTGATCGCACATTTTGCTATTTTCATGCAACAACAGTACACATGTGAAAACATTTCCATCTGTCCAAAGGGGATGTCAAAATTGGACTAATTCATAAATTCCTAATGAAGCCGATCAAGGATCCCATGGGTTCTTCGCTTTTGCAAAAATCATAGGGTTTCTTGTTGTGCAATACTGAATTTTATGCTGTGGGGGATCAGAGTTCATTGAAGTTCCCCCAAAGAAAGAAGGCTCCCCTCCACTCCCAGCAAATGGACTCTTCCAATTTTCTCCCATGATTATTCAGGCACTTTCACTTTTCCATATATAGGAGCAACTGGAACTAAAGATCCAATCAACCAGAGACACTGATAGGGGGAAGAGGCACGTGCCAGTTCAGTTCACTCATTCACTTTCTCATACATCCTTGTTCTACTCACACTTGCTCAAAGATCTGCAGGCAGAGGCAGTCTCCTAGATAGAAACAGCTCTGCTGGGTGGGAAGTTCCTTTTGGCTCCCAAAGGAAACCAGGGTGCAATCAGAATCCTCAAGCTGCTCCTTTCAGGAAACTTACAGGGAAAGTTTTGCAACATGAATGGACCTGTGGATGGCTTATGTGACCATTCTCTGAATGAAGAAGGTGCTTTTATGTTTACTTCGGAGTCTGTAGGAGAAGGGCATCCTGGTAAGTTAGCTGACCTGGGAACGGCTGCACACAATTAAGTCACTAGCAATTAGTGACGTGGGATGGAAGAGGTGGGTGGTTGCCCAAAGAAAAATATAGGGAGTGTCAACAATGCCATAGAAGAGGGCAGGTTGTATTAACGTTATTAGTTATTAATATTAGTTATATGACTTTTGTATTACTTCTCAAAACAAACAAGCAAACAAACAAACCAGAACAGTTAGATATGCAGTAGATAGAGCCTTAGACCAGGAGTCAGGAAGATCTGAATATGAATCCTACCTTAGACATTCATTAGTTGTATGACTCTGGACAAGTCACTTATTATTTGACTTTCTCATCTGTAAAATAAAGATAACATATTAGCATCAACTTCTCTGGGATGTTGTGAAGATAAAATGAAGGTATATGTAAAGCATTTTGTACCCCTTAAGGCACTATATAAATCTATTATTATTATTGTTATTGCTAATAATAATAATAATAATAATCCTGTCACGAGTATGAATGGGGATTGGATTTGGTCTCCATATTCTCAAAGCCTTAGAAAACACATGTTCATAGAAAAGTTGAACTCTCAGCTGTCAGAGAGAAAACATAAAAGAACTGGATACAAAACAATAATATATGCAGTATGTTTAGCCTCACAAGTATCTTATTATATTTTTTTAAGTAAGGAAATGTATGGGGTTACTTGAATTGGTAATGCAAAATCAATCAGCTGAATGTCTATGTGTATGGTCAGAACATTTAAAATTATATATTTAAAAAAAATCAAGGGGTCATCTGCCACCAATATGCAGCTTGAGTCAACAGAAAATGTTCCTTCAAACAAGGACAAGGGTCACTGAGTTTTCCATGTTAAGTGAATGTACTTTAGAAAGAAAGAGATAGTATCAAATGTCTGCTATTTTAGGAAATGTGAAGGAAAAAAAAGCTTTGGCTGAAAAGATAATTATTTGCTCTTCTGCTCCTGCAAAGGCATATGAACAATAACTACCTTAGGAGGGGAAATCATCATTCTTGACAGTTGTAACTATGATCAACTTCATAGGATAAAAGATTTCAAACCAAAGAGACCTTTGAGATCATAGAATTGTAGGCTTTGAGCTGGAAGGGACCTTGGAGATAATCTAGTCCAACTTCCACATTTTACAGATGAGAAGACAGAGACTCAGAAAGTGAAGTAATCTGCTCAGCACCACACAGTCAGTCTAGCAAAAGCTATATTCACACCCAGGGTCTCTGACTCAGACTCTGTTTCTTTTTACTTTATGCCATGGCCTCCCAAAGATACAACACAGCGTTACAGACTGAGTGTTGGACCCGGGGAATTAGGAAGAATTGAGTTCAAATTCTGCCTCTGACACTTGCTAACTATGTGATCAATGGCAAGTCACTTACCTTCTGAGAGCCTCATTTTCCTTCTCTGCAAAATGTTTACCAATAATATCTGTAGTAGCTATCTTACAGGACTATTGATGATCTGATAGGAAATGGCTATAAAATGCTCTGCTAATGTGAAGGCACTATTGAAAGTCTAGTTGTTTCCAGTCTCTGGCATTATTCTTATATAAATGTTATAGATATAGGGGTATCATAGAGTTCAGATGTATTTTGGAGCTCTGCATAAAGTTTTTTGTACTTTAGACTAACATGACAACACATTTTGGCAACCCTCAAACCTGCAGTTCAAGCATGTGCTTGTGTGTTAGAGGCTTTGTTGATAACTTGAAATGTATTGCAACATAACATGTTTACTCCCTCAAAGAAACTCAGTCCAGTAAACATTTATTATCTTGACTACCTTTCATTCCCCTAGCTTGCCTCTTGTTTTTCCTGCCTGATATTTCCTTTTGGTTCATTAGTCCCTTCCCCACCTCCCTGTGCAGTAGGTGAATGTTATTATGTCTATATCCTCTTATTTCCCACTTCAATTTTTTTGTCTACTAATTTTGAAGTATGGTATCTGGGATTGTCATGGCATTTATTTTCCAGTATACTGCCTTGTCTCGTGCATTCTAGAGAGCTCCAAATGCTTATTAAATGCTGATAATTAGAATTCTGACTCTCTGTACCTAGGGGAAAAACTTAGGACCCTGGATGACCAGGTTGGGCCTTCAAAGAGCCCATGATGATACAATACTAATGTGTTGAATAGTTGAAAAATGAAAAAGTTGATCAATGAATGATGTTGAACACCAAGTACCACCATTTAGATGAATTCCTATTCAGCATTTCCCTTCACTCTAAATTCGTTAAGTTGACATTTTATTTTTTCCATTATATGAGAATAGTCATAGGCCACCAAGTCTGGGGAAACTTCAACATGTACCATATTTGAAATAAGGTAGTTTTGAATCATTTAATACTGAAAAACAGCAGAGAGGAAAATATGGCTGCATATTACCAATGAAGAATCATGCATAACAATGTTGTAAAGGATATTATGAAAGATGATCTAGAATGCCTAGAAAAGGAAGTAGGATGATCATATTCTGGGAGTCCATGCTCTCAATGGAGGATAGTCCACATGGTTCATTAGCATTGGTAGCCATCAAGAGATCTGGAAGAAGGCCCTAACATTGTGCATAGACCCCCCGAACAAGGGTAACACAAGATCAGCAAGCATGGATGTATGGGCTGTGCTTTTAATGGTTAGAGTGAGTACCCATACCAATGAAATAACAGTTCTATGGATGCAACATTGATGGATCAAAATAATAACTGAAAAAGTTGGAATTTGTGTTTATTTCAAAATAAATTATTTTTTAGATAATATAAACAATTTCATCTTACCATAGTCTTGGTGCTAGAAAGAAATTAAAACTGCAACATTTATATGGAGCTTCAGACTATAATTGCAATATTTAACAATACTAATAAAAGATAAACCCAAACAGAATGCATATCCCTTTTGTCCCTTTCATTAGACTGTGCTCAAGTCTATTGAAATCTTTGAGCCCTTACTATGTTGTACCACTCATTTGGGACATAATGTATCCATTTTAAAATGCATATGTTCAGTCTCTCCACATAGATTATAAGATACTTCAGTGTAGTAATTATATCTTGTTCATAAGAGGAGCTTAATAAATGTTAACTCATCCTGTACCCTCCCTTAGCTTGTATAAGAATGATAGTTCTTCAGTACTGAAAAAACATGGTCCTTCTCAAGAATGGAATCTACTGCTTATTTGGACCTCCAGGGGAGGCATACCACCAGATTTATGTCCCTCTGAAAGATTCCTGGGTAGGGATTAGCACACCATAAGCCATCCATAAAAGATGGTTATAATAGCTAACAGCTGGAAACTTATTTACCTTAAAGGCAATGTGGAAAAGAAATCAGTCACTCCTTCGTGAAAGAAGCATCAGTATAAATGATAAAGGCATATACACAATTATAATATGAACTTATTCATGTATTGAGAGATTCAAAATTGTATGAGCATAATAACTACTCACATTTCACATCAGAAAGGCTATGAATTAGGTAGTACAACTATTATCATCCCCATTTAAAAGATGAGAAAAGTGAGGATCTTAGAGGTTAAGTGACCTTTCCATGGTCACAAAGCTAGTAAGTCTTTGAGGAGGGAATTCAAACCCAGGTCTACTGACTCCAAGTCCAATACGCTTAACATTATAACATATTGCCTCTTTTGACATTTTGACAGTGGTGACACTTACAGAGAAAAGATCGTACTTAGCAAAGATTGTCACAATTTTTTTAGGTTATATATGTGTAGTCTTGCAAAACATATCCATAATAGTCATGTTGTGAAAGAAAACTTAGATGAAAAATTCCAGAAAAATAATGAAGGTGAAAAAAACAAACCAAAACAAAAACAAACCAAAAAAAAGTTGCTCATGGATCATTGTATTGCTGAGAATAGCGAAGTCATTCACAGCTGCTCGCCTTACAATATTGCTGTTACTCTGTATCTACTATGTTTCACTTTACATCAACCCACGTAAGTCTTTCTAGGTTTTTCTGAGAGCAACCTGATCATTATTTCTTATAGTACAATAGTATTCCATCATAATTATATACCACAACTTACTCAGTCACTCCCCTATTGATGTGGATACCCCCAATTTCTAATGCTTTGCCCCCAACAAACAACTACTATAAATATTTTTGTACATATAGGTCATTTTCCTTTTTGTTTTTTTATCTCTTTTGGGATACAGACCTAATAATGGTATTACTATGTCAAAGGGTATGCATGGTTTTATAACCCTTTGGGCATAGTTCCAAATTGCTCTGTAGAATGGTTTAATCAATTCACAACTCTGACAACAGTGCATTAATGTCTTATTTTCCCATATCCCCTCCAACATTTGTCATTTACCTTGTCTGTCCTATTATCTAATCTAATAGGTATGAAGTAGTACCTCAGAATTGTTTTAACTTGCATTTCTCTATTCAGTAGTGAGTTAGAATATTTTTTCATATGTCTAAAGATAGCTTTAATTACTTCATCTGAAAACATTATATCTTTTGATAATTTATCAGTTGGGGAATGGCTCTTATTTTTATAAATTTGACACAATTTTCTATATGTTAGAGAAATGAGGTTGTTATTAGAGAGACTAGTTTCGGAAAAAAAATTTTTTCACAGTTACTATTGTTAACTGTATTTCCCTCCATCCTATTCCCTCTACCCCTGTTCATTCTATTCTCTCTCTTCTTTTATCCCGTCCCTCCTCAAAAATGGCTTGCTTCTGATTATCCCTTCCCCCAATTTGCCCTCCTTTCTATCACCTCCCCCCTTCTCTTATCCCTTTCTCCTTTTATTTTCCTGTAGGGTAAGGTAGATTTCTATACCCCATTGCCTGTGTATCTTATTTCCCAGTTACATGTAAAAAAAAATTTTAACATTTGTTTTTAAAACTTCGAGTTCCAAATTCACTCCCTCCCTCCCACCCACTCTCATTGAGAAGATAGGCAATTCAATGTAGTTTGTACATTTGTAGTCATGCAAAACACTTCCATAATAGTCATGTTGGACTATCACTATTTTTTCCTGTATCTCGTTCTCTACCAATAATCACAATTATAATAATAGTTAGCATTTTTACAGTTTAAGATTTGTAAAGTGCTTTACTCTATATCTCATTTTATTCTCACTACTTTGGGAGATTGATGCTATTATTAACCTCATTTTACAGATGATGAAGCTGAGGCAAATAGGTTAAGTGACTTGCCTAATATCACACAGCTCATTTGAGAACAGATTTGAACTCAGGTTTTTCTGACTCCAGGACCAGCACTCTATCCACTGTGAACTAATTGTTGTACCTTCTTAATGAAAACCAGGAACACATACTCAATTAACCTTCATCAAGCTTAGTCAATCCTGTTTAGCAAAATGGGTGACTCCTCTAAGTTTAGAGGATTTTGAAGTGGGCATTATATGCGAATGTGTTCTATCAGACCTTAGATGTAGCCTATAAAATATCATAAATTCTTATTCTTCAATGGAAGGAATTCTGAGTTCTTGATAGCCATGCCAGCAGAGTTGAAGTTCTGTTGGTTTTACCCAGCTGGAAAAGCTCTAATCTGGACCTGGTGATGGGCCATCTGTCTACTGTCTGAGAAACAGACTAGCTAAGTTTTAAGAGTCTCAACACCATGTCAGCAGCCATGGGGTGATGCATTTTTTGGCCTCACCAATTCTTGAAGACTAATTACTTTGTTATAGTGGGGTTGCAATCTGTACTTGTGGAAGGAATACCATGCCAATAAATTGCATGTTGTCAAACTTCTGAAATAAGTACTATGGTTTCCATATTACTTTGAGCTTCTTTTTCCTCCATCTAACTGGATACTTGTGTATCCAAAAGCTGACCGAATTATTCAATTTGGTTGTGTCATACTCACAAAGTAGATGATTTTGAGATCTATCTCCCATGAGCATTTGGTTCTCAAGCTCTTGTTTTCATAAGAGAAGGCTCCTTCTTTGACTGACCGTCTGATGGCCATATGTAAATAGGAGTAGGCTTTACTTCTCTACTCACTTGCTTCAGTAGGCCATTAGGGAATTGGCATATGACCTTTGTTCATTGTTGCTCATGATAAAGAAACTAGGAGACATTGGCCAACTTTGAGAAGGTCTCTGTACCCTGGACCGGGCTTCTTCTCCATTATCTTATACTGCTCTGTATTCTCCATGGCACTTGGTATACTTCTAGGCACACAGAGTGAATATATACTGACTGTTGATTGATTGCATCATTCATGGAGGTCCCAGAAGCACCCTGAGGTGTACAAAGCACTTGGCAAGAGAACATAAGTTGCTTAAAGGAAGGGATTTTTTCATTACTGTCTTTGCAATCCCCCAAACCTAACATTGTGCCATACATCTAGCAGACATTTAATAGATGTTTGCTGAATTGAATTTTAATTTTTATACCCTTTCTTCAATCAGGTACAGTTTTGGCTGCCTCTTCTGTATGTAATAAAGTGTATCTGGTATATCCATTTTGACACCATGAGATTTTATCTCCAGTTTCCCATTCCACCCAGTAAATGAGACACAGGGAGTCAGGCAGGGGGATATGGTAGTGCTTCATTAAATTGTAATTGAGGATAGTCATTCTAATCTTTTTATTTGGATGATACATAGCCCTTGAATGGCTCTCTAGTTTCTATGATGTGGTAGCTGTTCAGATGCTCTATGTGTTAAAGCAAGATGAGGGGTTTCGAAAACATTTGTGAGTATGAGTGCTGGATTTGGAAGTAAGAAAAAAAACTGGATTTGGCTTGTATGTCTGCTTATTACCTGTGTGATCTTGGATAAGTCATTCTCCTCTCTGTACTCCAGATTCCTCACCTGTAAAATGAAGCAACTGGATTGGATGGTTCCACCCAATTCTTAAGCTGTTGTGCTTTGAATTTTTGGACAAGCCATGTATGCAGGTTCAAAATTTCTTCACAACGTTCAAAATTTCATGTTAGGGCATAGTGAGTGGAGCTTATTCTAAGTTTTTTTAAAAGATAATATGAGCTATTTTTCGATGAATATGAATAGATATGAATTTTGTTAGACAATATGAACTATTAGAGGAACAGCAATGACTATAGAGAGTTTTAAATTTGCATTCTAATAAAACGCTTATAGTGAAATGTATGATGTACAGTGTAATAGAACACTTACAGTGTTGGAGCATGAAAGGATCCTAGACATATTTCCCCTTTAGTTTCATTTAAAAAATTCTATACAGAAAATATTTGTGTATATGGTCAGCTTTCTACTTCCAGACTAGTGGATTATTTTATGAAGTAGAAAATACTAAAATAAATTCTATTTGATTTGGGAATGTATGGCATAATATATTGTTTAAAACAGATTTACATTCCAATCAAATTCAGTTAGACAGTTCCCAGAGTGATAATTTTTATGTAAATAATTGAAAGTCACTTGTAGGTATAGATTTTTTTTTTAAAAATAGAAACAAAAAATATTACAAGCAAACTCCCGCTGGTAAAATGAGCCTAAAATATGAAGAAAGTAATGCCAGGTAGATGTTGCGTAAAATAGCGTAGAGGAAATTGATAAAAGACAACAGTACAAATATGTTTCATGTTGTTTAATATCTGTCTGGACCAGAGCCTAGTACAACTTAGATACAGTAACTCAGGTTCCCTGGCTACACTCCTAGAAGTTCCTTGTTTTAATTAATAGTGTTCACACGATTGCGTGGCCCTGTTCTTAGCACTTACTCCTCACTGGAGAAAGAGGAGTGATTTAAAGAACTGTTCTTTGTAGCTAAATTGAAACTTGAACCTGACATCTAAGAATGTGACTATAAGGCCAAAGTGCTTTTTGTTACTTAAGTTTTGAACATGGGCATCTCAGATGGTCCTGAAGTAACAGTGACATAATTTTTTTTTTTCTGGAGGAGTTTTCCCCAAACATGATGCTCTTCAAGATGTAGATAATGGTTTCATGGGAAAATTTCATATTTCTTCTCTAAAATACTACATATCAAATAATGTACATATCAAATATATATGGAATATGGTATTTTTGGTAGGAAAATAAGGTTAATTTGCTCAATCCAAAAGTTATCTATATGCCAATGCAATTCCATATATCTTGACCAGAATGTATGATTTTGTTGGTATGTGTCAGATTCTGAAGTGTTCCATGGCCAAATTAATTTGGGAAATGCAGCTCTGGCCTCCCTCTTTACAAATATCTTTGACGCTGAAGACATTCTTCATAAATATGAAAACAACAATGCCAAACTGTGGATTGGAGCTCTCGTGTATCTACTGAAACTAACATTAGACAAGGGTTTTCAGTTGACTATTCATTTTATTGAAAACAATGAGGATTTATGGCATTTTGGGATCATCTGGGAAAGCTGGAGAATTTCTTGTGAAAATATCTTAAACTGTTATACTGATCCAGAGGTATTCTCCTGTTCACTTTTGTTTTAGAATTGACACAAGCTAAGGTATAACAATTTGAACCTGGTGCATTGAGTCTTAAAAAACAAATTAAAAACTCCATCTGTTGTCCAATCAGATTTCAGTACCCTAACTTTAACTTGTTACTATTAAAGTAAGTGCTTGAGTGTCTGCTTCTAGGACTTTTCCAGATGTGCACTCAGGAATTAAGGAATATATGTTGATGGATGAAAACATTATTAGGAGAATGTTCATGAATTACCCTGGAGGTCTTGGAGTGACTATTTTTGGCATGCATTTTTTCTCTACAGGAAATTCCAGGATTAGGACAAAAATCAACATCACCCCAAAGCTGGGGTGGGAGAGGAGTGGTGCTTGAAACAATATTTGAAATTTCTCATTTTTTAGATACCCAATATTCTAGTCTCTTCTTTAATAGCTAATGATATATTCACATTTGTCCATTCATAAATTATTTATGTACTATTTCGGACTCACAGTTTTCCTCTTTTTCCAGATAAGATCTGTGATCAGATCAGTGATGCCGTGCTAGACGCCCATCTCAAACAAGACCCAAATGCCAAGGTTGCTTGTGGTAAGAATCACAAAATCACATGATTTTGTGAGAAATGATTGTTTCTCTCTTACATTTAATAACTTATTATTGTATTAGGACCAAAATTTTCCTCCTTTTCTACTTCCTAATCAAGAAACCAACCAGTGTGGGAAATCTCATAAAAATTTACCCAGGCCAAGATCTAATCAGAGGTAAAAGAAATTCTAAGTTTGGGCTAATGGGTATATTCCTGCTCATTGTGTTTGCTCGGATAGATCCGGGAAAATGTGGCTCCTCTCTTTTGTCAAATAGATGATATGGAAATTGATAAGTCTCTCTGACCAAGATTTTAGTGATCCAAGTCATGTACCCCAAGACCCTCATTTTAATATAGCCCACCCTCTCATTGTAATATTCATTCTCTGATTGTTAACCAATCAGAGTTGATTGCCACCCCCCAGGAACACCTACTCTTTGAAGGGCATAACTGTGAACCCACCACCATGAGGAGTCTTTGGTCTAAGAGAGATGTCCAAATGACCCTCCTTTTATTAGTAAAGGTGCTGGTCTTATTAATAAAATGATTAAATTACCCAGAAACTACATCTCTGAATTTTTTTATTGTCACAATTTCATAATTGGAAGTAACCTCAAAGGCCATCCCGTCCAACCCACATTTGAGCAAGAACCCCCTCTACAGTGTAGCCAGCAAGTGATAATCTAGCTTTTCTTTGAAGACCTCTGGTAGAGGTGTGAGTGACTGAGTGTGTGTGTGTGTGTGAGAGTGTGTGTGTGTGTGTGTGTGTGTGTGTGTTTGCATATTCTAGTATCACCTCTCAAAGCACTATTCTACTTCTGGTTGCTCTAATTGTTCACAAGTTTTTCTTTAAATCAAATCTAGATTTACATCTCTATAATTCTGGCCTGTGACTCCTAGTTCTGCCATCTACCATATTAGCAGCTAGGTGGCCCAGTGGATAGAGCACTAGGTCTTGAGTTAGAGAGTACCTGGGTTCAAATCCAGTATCAGACACTTACTAGCTGGGCAAGTCACTTAACTTCTATTTACCTCAGTTTCCTTATCTGTCAAAAGGAGAATAACAGTAGCCCCTTGATCCTGGGGTTGTAAGGATCAGATGTGATAATAATTATAAAGCACTCAGCATAATACCTGACATGTAGTTAGCCATATATAAATGTTAGCTGTTGTTCTGGTTGTTATTACTATTGTTTGGGGGCAAAATAGAACAAGTCCAATACTTCTTCTATGTGACAACTTTTCAATTACTTCAATACCATTATCTTTATATCCTTAAGACATTTTTAGGCTAAACATCTTTGTTTTCTTCTCCCAACCCTCATGTGACATGTTCATGAAAGCCTTAACTCTCTTGGTCATCCTTCCCTGGATGCTTGCTGGTTTATCAACATCTTTCCCAAAATATTGTGCCCATAACAACGTCATTTTCTGGATGTGATTTGTTAAGGACAGGGTACAATGGGAACATCACCTCTATAATATTGAACATTACACCTCTAAATGGGGCATGTTGGCATGATCTTTTTGGCAACCATGCCACACTGTCAACTCATATTGGTTTCAGTCCACTGAACCCCCCACTATTTTTTCAGAAGACCTGCAGTTTAGCTATACCCCCTTATCTTATATACTCATGAAATCATTTTTTTAAACCTCAATTTAAAACCTTTACTATTTTATCTTATTAGGTTAAGCCCAACATTCTAGCCTCCCAAGGTCTTTTGGAATCCTGATTTTTGTCATTCATTGACAAATGAATTGTCGTTCATTGTGTCATTTTCCAAATGTAATAGAGGTCCTATCTATTCTTGAGTACATGTAAATTTTTATTTTCTTCTCCTAGAGATCTAAATATACAAATGAGCATTGAGTGGTGCTTTCATGCCTCATGGGATATAGTGCTTCAGTCAGTCAACAAGCATTTATTAAGTGCTTTCTATGGGATAGGCACTGTGCTAAATGCTGGGTTAAATATTAGAAGTGAAAGGGACCTTAGAAATAATCTAGTTCAATCCTTTCATTTCAAAGGCAAGGAAGCTGAATCTTGGAGAGGTTATATCTATCTCCAAGTCATGTGCCAAATTAGGGTCAGAGCCAGTACTAGAATCCAAGTAACCTATCTCCTAAATCCTGTCTTTCAACAGCCTGAATTTTTTTCCTATTTCTATAGGTGAAATCATTGTACTATATGAAAAATTAGTAGTTTTATCCTTTTGTTTTGTAGAAGCTCTGCTTGGAGTTTTAATGATCCTAAATAGGTTACCTTCTTTGGGAGAATAATCCTATATAAGCCTGTCTCATAGCTTGGTCACAATTAGAAAGTCCCAGAGAATTTGTCTAATTGGAAATGAGGCAGGTTATCTTCATCCAAGGGAAATGCCAATGCAGATTCTGGGCCTTCTGCAAGAAGTTATCAGGCAGTGCTTGGGAACAAGCCAAACCTTTAAAGTTACTGTTAATAATGCCTTCACTGTACCAAAAATGGGACATAAACACAGATGTCTCTCTGGCTCAGATTTTTTTTTCATTTATAATTTCTAATTCATGATAGCATTCAATAAAAAGAGTGATTTTTCTAGGGGATTATTATTTTGGCACTAGTCTGCTGGTTAAAGTTAAATTATGTGACAATTAATTCATTCTCCCATATACGTCATAATATCCTCTTGTGGCTCCTTATTAGGCCTGTAGATAGATCAAGGTACATTATTGTTTAATTAAATCAGAGGCACCATCTGAATTTCATTCACATCATTATCATCCTCTATCAGTATTTCTAGACCTGTATAAGGTGCAGGGTTCTTCACCTTGACATTAAGGGAATGTTCTTTTTTAATATTCCTTTGATTTTAATAAGACTCAGGATTATAATGATAGATTTATAGAATTTTTAAGCTGGAAAAGTTTATAAAGATCAATCTTGTTGAACTCTGTGATTTTATGGGTAAGAAAACTAAAGCCCCGAGAGGGCATAAGATGATAGATCAGTTGCTGGAAAGGACACCAGAGCCCCTCTTGTCCAACTGTCTTATTCTGCAGATGGGGAAATTGAGACTCAAGGAGGTTGAGTGACTTTTCTAAAGTCATAAAGACAGGAAGCATCAGAGGTAGGATCTGAGCTGGGTCCTCAGATTCTAGAGACAGTGCTCTTACCAAAAGTGACTTTTCTAAGGTCACAGGGCTCATTTGGTCTTACACTAGAACTAATTTCATAGTACCCATACAAAGCATAGTCTGACCAAAGGTGCAGTTGTACGAGGGGACAACCTGACCACAAGGCCCCACACATTCTACAGGAGTTGAGAGAGGGATTATGAGCCACTGCCAGTCCTTTGGTGGGGAGAGGTTGGGGTGGACAGAAGTTGTACTGTGTGGTGACATAGAGAATGACATGTGGGTTGGATGCTGTGGAAAGGAAGCATGCTCTCTCCACTGGAACAAAGCCCTAGTCACCCCATACTAGTTACAGCTTTACCATCCGGTCTCCTTCAGATTTTTCAATGTCTCTCTGAGGGCTGCCTCAGGCAGTCTGGAGCCTTTGCTACCTTGCAATGTGTGTTCTAAGTTTTTCCCTGTTCTTTCCTTTACAGAGACTGTCTGCAAAACTGGGATGGTCCTACTCTGTGGGGAGATCACTTCAGTTGCCATGGTGGATTATCAGCGTGTAGTCCGGGACACCATTAAACACATAGGCTATGATGATTCAGCCAAAGGTAGAGGAGAAAACATTGGGACCGAAAAGCACATTTGTCCTAACTGTGTCTCCATGTCTGGCATGAGAGCAGATTTATCTAGAGGCAGTCCAGATGCCCTCATGGGTGAAACAAATTCATAGACCAACTCATAGGAATTCAGGGGTGACGTAAAAGGCCATGTTAGAAAAAGATGAGCTTGGGTAGCTATGCCCACACCTCTCCGTCCTGACAATAAAACACTGGGAAGAGAAACTGCTCATGGCAAATACCCCTGATTATTATAGAAAATTAGAATTAAATGAAAACACATTTCTGTTTAGGTTGTCTGTTATGGCGTCATTTGACTCCAATGGTGGGTGACCTTAGTCAAAATCTCATTTCAACAAATGAGCAGCCTTGTCTTCGGAAGCACAAGCATCACGTGTGAATGTTGTTCTTCCTGAGGACTTTGTACTCTTTCTAAATTCTTTCCAAGATTTGTCTGCTGTTGTAAATATTCAAGAGTGAAAATCAAGTGATTAATTACAAAATTGTACTTGGTGAAAATATCAAGGGCCTGAAGTTGAATTGCTAATATTAGGTATTTCATAAGGGTGGGTGTCCCTAGCTGTCTGAATGGCAGAAAAATCTAGAAATGAGAGCAATACAGCTCTCCTGAAACAGTGGCAAATGCTGGGTCACCTTATATATGCCTCACACATGCATTTGAGTGAAGACTAGCATGAGAATTACATAACAACACATAAAGGCATGATATGATATTACCTGTTTTCTCAATCAGTGCAGGAGAGACCGGAGGAGAGGGGAGGGAGAGAATTTGGAACTCAAAATTAAAAAAAAAAAGAACGTTAAAAAGAAATAAATAATAAATTGAAAAAAAATAAAATAAAACAATTGAAGGAGGAAAAAGCAACGCTGGCTTCCATGGAAGACCTAGGTTCAAGTCTCACCACTGACACATACTAACTTCATGACCCGGGGCAGGAAATTTCTCTTCTCCAGGTCTTGGGAAGCTCTCTAACATTATATATTACAGAGAAGTCCTCTCAATTGTTTTTTTTTACCACTTGTTCCCTACAGTAATGAAATCCCAGGAATGTCCTCCAAGCCACATAATGTTACCTTGAATCCTATGATGACAGAGACTATAAAGACATTTTGCCATTAGGCTCATTACCTGCTTTGTTGGCCTTCAGCACAGCCACCTGAGGAACATGTTAGGTTAAAGCTAAGTGACTAGACTGGGAGTCAGGGAAACCTGAGTTTGAATCCTGCCACAGATACTTACTAGCTGTGTGAACCTGATCGAGTTGCTTAACCTCTTTCTGCCTCAGTGTCCTCATCTATAAAATAGGAATAATAATAAGATCTATCTCATAAGGTCATTATGAGGATCAAATAAAATTATATATAGTGTTTTATAAACTTTACAACAACATATAAATGCTAGCTATCATTTTTATTGTTATTACTACCACTATTACTAATAAAGAGCAAAGTAGAGAAAAATATTTAAAAATTCATTGATACTATTTATACTTTTTTATCAAGGTTAATTATTTGCTTAAGATACCTTGTTTTTATTTTTTCATATAATCGTATTTTTAAACATTGTTATTTATTTTTAACATTCTTTAAAAATTTTTTAATTCCAAATTCTCTCCCTCCCACCTGCCCCTCCCCCACCACTGAGAAGACAAGTAATATCATATCAATTATACATATGAAATCATGCAAAACATATTTCCATATTAGCCATATCACCAAAAAGCAAGAAAAATAAAATAAGAAAATTATACTTTATTTTGCATTCAGTTTATAAGTTCTCTCTCTGGAGGATAGCATTTTTCATCATGATTCCTTTGGAATTGTCTTGGATCATTGTCTTGATCAGAGTGAAGTCATATTTTGTCTTTGTTAAGGTTGTTAGTACCTACCTCAAAAATGTAGCACCTAGTTGTAGTATTTTACTGTTTGATGTTGTTTAAAATTATTATTGAGAGTCTTGAGTTCCCAGGTGGATTTTCAATTTCTTGAAGGCAGGAATAATTTTTTATACTACTTTTGTATTCTCTTCCATCCCCAGCTTGGGTGAGATAAAGAAATACTTGTTTACTGGTAGTTGAAAAAGAATTTCCTTCTTTATGTTTGAACTTCTCAAGCTCATTTTTTAATGGGCAACTAGGTTTAGTCTAAAGGCAGCCAGGTGATGCGGTGGTTAGAGGACTGGGCCTGAAGTCAGAAAGACTCATCTTCTTGAGTTCAAATCTGGCCTCAGACACTTACTGGTCGTGTGACCCTGGGCAAGTCACTTTACCCTGTTTGCTTCAGTTCCTCATCTGTAAAATGAGCTGGAGAAGGAAAGGGCAAACCACTCCAGTATCTTTGCCAAGAAAATTCCAAATGATTGAAGTGACTGAACAACCAAAAGAGGCTTAGCCTAAGACATAGGATATTACTTGTATTGACAATTATCCTTCACAGTAGGAGTAATGGCAGGTCATTGAATTTGCTAACTGTTCTATATTGCAAACGAAATAACTTAAGTTCAAAAAAGAATTATTGAGCCCCTGCTATCTTTAAAGTAAGATGTGAAGTGCTATGGGAGATGCAAAAATGAGTGATACATAGTACTTGCTTTTAGCAAGCTTGCCATATAGTAAGCAGGATAAAAGAAACATATTAATATCATTTGGGGCAGAATAAAATAAGAGATGGATTGTCATATTGGAGGAATAACATTGGATAATATTGGAGGCCAGTGTCATTGAATCACAGAGGGGAGTACGATGTAAGAAATCTGGAAAGGTAGAACAGGGCCACGCTATGAAGGGCCTATGAAGGTTAAAAACCAAATAGTATTTTATATTTGATCCTGAATGTAATAGGGAACCACTGGAGTTGGTTGAACGGGAGTGGGATATGGTGGTGACATGTTCAAACTTGAACTTTAGGAATATGGACTATTTGTACTTGACTAGTGGCAGAGCCTTCCAAGCTTGTAATGGTCTGATAAGCCACAGTTGAACACTCTGTACCTTGACTCCAACATAGTGAGGCCATTTTGGTCCTCTTCAAGAACGAAGGACAACAACCAACCAACTTCAGGAAGATTGATTTGACAGTTGAGTGGAGAATGGACTGGAGAGACTTGAGGCAGGGAAACCCACCATCAGGTTGTTGCACTAGTCCAGGAGCAAGGTGATGAGGACCTGCACCAGGGTCCGGCAGTGTTAGAGAACAGAATGGGACATATTTGAGAAGAGTTATGAAGAGATGTACATCATGAGACTTCACAGAAAGGAGATCTTAGAACCATCTGGTGGGATAAGCATCATAGACCAGATTGCACTTAACCTTGGCCTTTTAGGATGGATAGGGAGGAGACAACATGTAAATAACTAGGTATACACAGTATACACACAAGAGATCTATCTATCTATCTATCTATCTATCTTTATGTCTATTACTAGACATAAAGACTAGATATTTATCTATCTATCTATCTATCTATATGTCTATTACTAGACATATCTACATATCTATTGATCTACCTATGTAGATACCTATCTAGGCATCAGTATCTAGATAGATGATGTAGATATAGATAGATAAATAGATAGATGGATGAATAGTAGATGGAAGGTGGTCTAAGAGAAAGGAACTAGTAGCTGGGGGTACTGGGAAAGACCTGCTGTAGAAGGTGGGATAGAGCTGTGTCTTGAGGAAAGCCAGGGAAACTAAGAGATGGAGGTAAGGGAGCAGAACATTCCAGGCATGGAGGGCAGCCAGTGCAAAGGCACAGAGAGAGGAGATGCATTGTCCTGTTCAAGGAATAGAAAGCAGACTGGCATAGCTAGATTGTTGAGGACATGAAGGGAATTAAGTCCACTTCACCAGAACCAAGTGTCTGGCTCATCTGCTTTCAGGGAAAAAAATCCCTCATTATTTTATATACTAATTATGTTCTGTTACTGGGCCTCCTTGTATTGACATAACTTTAATTTGAATTCACGGTGAAGCCTACAGAATACCTTTAAGTATGGAGACAACTTGGCACAATAGCCGCTGTGCTAAATCTGGCACTGAGAAGACATGGGTTTGAGTTCTGTCTCAGACACACTGGACCAGTCAGTTCTTCTCTCATTGCAACTGTCTGGTATTGTTTAGAAATTTCGGAGAAGGTGCTGACCTTCACTGGAAGGGGAAGTTCTCTCTACACCAGTGAAATCACATCTAGCTCCTATCCTCCTCCTTATCTCTAGCTTATGCTATTTACTAGTTATATGACTATGGTCAAGTGACTTAACCTTTAAAGAGCCTCCGTTTGAGCCTCAGTTTCCTCATTTATAAAATGGGACTAGTAACTGTTGTAATACCACACAGACTAGATAATATCTCTTTATAGCATGTATATGTATACACACGTGTACACACATGTGTATACTCACGCATGCACATATATACACACATATATACACATACACACATTGTCTATTCACTACTTACATCTACTGGTGAAGGAGAATATGTGATGTGAGTGCTGGAGATGCAGATTTTAATAAAATCCTCACATGAAAAATACCTTACAGATGTACACACTGTCCCCAAAGTAGAATTTGCTGGCTCCTTCTCTCTTCTCCTTTCTACCGATATCAGTGGTTGACTGAGCTATCAACCAGTGTCAGGTCAACCAGGGAAAGTTTCAGATGATTTTTCTTGGTTGTATTACCCTCGAGAGTTTGGTTGTGATTGAAAGTTCAGACAGTCAATAATATTGGTGGGAAGGGGCAGGGGAGGAGCAGCAAATTCTACATCAGGTAGACAGAAGATGACAGGAATGCTTGAAGATGTAAAACGAACGCTTGAACATCTTTGTTCTCTGATGAAGAAAACTGGCTTTGGGTCAAGTCGGCCATAACCAGAACTGCGGGAACAACATTAGACACTTCAGAATTGTTGGACTGTTGCTTAATGTCTCTATTGACTACTATTAAGGAAGTGAGGTTGGGGAGAGGAGAGAACACTCTTGAGGTGCTAACTACATCCTGGGTATACTTAAATGAGACAGCACCCCCAAATGCTCAACTATCACTATGATTGAGTACTATAAACAAGAGCATCATAGGAACATCTATTTAGAACTAAAAGTGACCTCAGAGACCACTGGACTCACTTTACAGATGAGGAAACTGAAGTATAGAGAGGATAATTGATTTGCCCAAAGTCACAACAGTTAGTATCTGAGGCAGGATTTGAACCCAGTTCTTTGCAACAGACCATCACAGAGCATAGATTTAGAGCTGGAAGAGACCTCGGAGGTCATTTAGTCAAACCTTCTCATTTTCACAGATGAGGAAATTGAGGCCCAAGAAGGCTAAAAGGCATGTTTGAAGTAAATATTTCTCTGTACTCTGCTAGTTCTTAGAAGCATTCTTTTATGACATGTCTCGGAGGAACATACTCTCAAAATTATTTAACCTTCCTGAAATGCCAAGCGGGCATGTTTTGCCAGACAGAACTGTCAACATGTTCTACCAAAAAAGTCAATCTATTTTGGTTTATTCAGAACTTATTCAAGAGTGACTTTTTGTCTTTGTCTTTGTCCTTATGGAAGACAGTTCCCTGAAGGGATTTTCCCTAGAAATGGTAAAAGGAGAGGAAAGTGAAAGAGTAACTCCAAAGCTCATTTTATTTCCTCATGAGCCAGTCTTACTGGAGCAGATGGCACATGGACTGTTGTTTATAACTGCTAATTGGCACACACCACTGGACATGGAGTCAGGAAGACCTAAAGCCACATCCAGCCTCAGACACTTTCTAGCTCTGTGACCCTGACCAAGTGCCTTAACTTCTGTCTGCCTCAGTTTCCTAAACTGTAAAATGGGGATAATTATAGCACCTACCTCCCAGGGGTGTTGGAGGATCAAATGAGATGATATTTGTAAAGTGCTTAGCACAGTGCCAGGCACATATGACGTACTTGTGATGAATGATTGTTTCTATCCTGTGACACCTGGGCAGCTCTGTGACTCTGTGTGTGTGTGTGTTTGTGTACTGTTGCACCCAGGTGCTAGAGTTTCTGTTTGATCATCATCTGGCATTGAGGATATTTCAGGAAATCTCTGGCTGTTGCAGTCAGGCAGAAAGCCATATTCTGCTGTTTTCCAGTGTGTTTGCTGCTTTAGGCCAGAGTTTTTTTTTTCTTTTTGTCACAGTCCTTTCTTTTCATGCATTGCAGCTTCTTCTGTTTCTATCCCATGGACTCCATCTTTTTTTATTTTTTAAGTATGGTTGATACCTTTTGTTGGTTTAGCGCCATCATTTCTAGAAACACTGCCATCCTTCAGGAATTGAACCCTCTCTTGTAACTGAGGAAAACAGTTAAGCAAAAATGCCTGACAGGGTGACCTTTTCTGCTGAGAGGATCAAAGACTTAGAGTTGGAAGGGGCCCAAAGGCCATCTAGCCCAACCCCCTCACTTTACAGTTGAGGAAATTGAGAACCAGAGAGGCAAGTAACTTGTCCAAGGTAATCCAGGGAGTAATTGTCAGAGAGGACATTTGTACCCATTTTTTTCTGACTCTAAAGCCAATTCTATTTCCACAGTACCATGCTAATTGAAAGCAAGGAGGTACAGTTCCATCTCATTATTTGTTCTCTAGAACCAAGGTGCACAGGCCTCCTCTGAGGAGGAGGCACAGGCCTGCTTTGCGTTCAGCTCTCCTGCGAAGCAAGTCCATTGGCAGTGAATTCCTGAGGAATGGGCTAGGCTTCCTCTGCTACCCTTATGCTAAGTCCTGCAGGGAAAGGCTCTGTTCATATCTGCATTATTGCTAGGCCCTTTGGAATGTGTGTCCATCATCCTCTCTGTCCACATACAAAATTCATGGCTGGTATTGAATGTCTGAAAAAGTTCTGGCTGTCAAGATTCACCTTGAGGAGCCCCAGAGGTATTTTCAGCCCAGTCACTTGGGAAGGGAGTGTCTCTTAGCTTTAATCTTGATTTACTCATATTCTTATAATTCTCAGGGCACCTTGGGTACTATGAAGTTGCTCACATTAGACTATTTCTCAGTGTACAGAACATAACAATAGCCAAGGAGGAATAAGCCTCTGGTTCTGAAATGGCATTTTTTGGTTGATTATATAGAATTCTAGCCATGACAGATGGAAATGTTTCATGGAATGAAGTGAGATTTCTCAGGGAGATTTGTGTCATTTTAGGATCGAATGACTAGTGGTCTTTTTAATGTCCCATGCTGAGATAATTTTCTCATCTCCCTACTTCCCCCACCTTTACTTCATAAGTAAGGAAGTTGAGACTTACTGGAAAGTACTGTCCCAAGGTTATACAGCTAGTCTGTGGCTGAGCTGGGATTGGAACCCAGGTACCCTGTCTCCCAACTCAGTGCTATTTCAGGAAGACCTGAATTCAAATCCAGCCTCAGACACTTAATAGCTATGTGACCTTGGGCAAAGCCACTTAACCTTGTTTGCCTCAGTTTCTTCATCTGTAAAATGAGCTGGAGAGGGAAACGCCAAACCAGTCTAGCATCTTTGCCAAGAAAACCCCAAATGGAGTCGTGGAGAGTCAGACATGACTAATTGACCAAATGACAACAATAACTAAAATTAGGGCTGCTAGATGGCACAGTGAATCAAGCACCAGCCCTGGAGTCAGGAGGCCCTGAGTTTGAATCTGCCCTCATATACTTACTAGCTGTGTGACCCTAAGCAAGTCACTTGACCCTGATTGCAGAAAAAAATGGCTTTTTGGGGCCCTTTTATCTAGCAAAACTGGACAGATTACATTTTCTATTCTGCAACTTTGACTCTTTCAAGCTCTTACCTGCCTTCTTTGGGGTTACAGGTAGGCAGGTGGTAGCCACCACCACCACCACCACCACCACCAGCAACAACAACAACAGTGCTAGAGCCTTCCTTCTGTTGATTATCTCCAATTTATCTTGTATATATCTTGATTGTACATAGTTGTTTGCTTGTTGTAGCCCTATTAAATTGTGAACTCCTTGACAGCAGGCCCTATCTTTCGCCTTTCCAGGCATCCTCAGTGCTTAGCACCATGCCTGGCACATAATAGGTGCTTAAAAATGTTTATTGACTGACTAGTTAGTGTTTTCAGTATTGCAAAGCATTTTACAAATAATTATCTCATTTTTATCTTCACCACAAGCCCAGGAAAAAGGTGATATTATTACCCCACATTGGTTACAAATTTCTTGGTTTGGGTTAGTTTTAGGTTGTGCTTGACCTTATCTTAGTTAAATGAGGCAGAGAGAAGATATTTCCCTGAAGGTATAAATGAGGAAAATATAAACTTAAAAAAAGATAGGAACTCTAGCCTGGGTTAGGAATTGAGCAAGGCCATCATATGTTCACCTGGGATGCAGGCCTCTGGCCAGCTCACCTGTGAAATGTGTATTATCTCTTATTTGCTTTTCTTCCCCTGCAGGCTTTGACTTCAAGACCTGCAATGTGCTAGTAGCCCTGGAACAACAATCTCCAGATATTGCCCAGTGTGTCCATTTAGACAGAAATGAAGAAGATGTCGGTGCTGGAGATCAGGTGACTAAGCATTGTTCACCTTAGCAACGCCATAATTCAGTTCCAGTTAATCAATTACTCTGTTCTTTCCAGGGAGGAAATGGTCTCCACTTTTAGAATATCTCAATCATTTGGATTGCTTACCTGTTGATATTATATGGTGTTTGTTTTTTCTTTGTTCTTATTTCTATCCAGTTACAAATTGTGGGGAAAGGCCAGTATGTTACAGGATCACCAACAACTTTTTCTTGCTCCTTATGCCTCCACCCCCAACTCCTCAAAGGAAGTTCTCTCATTGATTTCCAAGCTGCCTAGGGACTCAGGAAGAACCTTCGGGCTGTGTATAAGAAGATAAAACTCCTTCTCTTTTTCAGTTCTCATTATCCTCCCTCAAAGAAGGATTGATTTACTATGTGGTATTACAATTGGTTGGATGGCAAATGGTCTGATGGACAGAAAACTCTGAGAAAGTAATTATAAGTAATATAAAAGAAGCTTAATGAGTATTAAAAGGTCAGAATCACCACCAAAGTTTCATGTTATATATAGGTTTGATGATCATACATCAAACACAGGATATAGGGGGTGTGCTGAAACCAATACCTACTGGCTCCTGAGAACCAGTTGTTAAATTTTCAGTGTGAGCATTTATACCTTGGAAATGGCAAATGATACAAATCAGGACTTGATTTATTTTCTTGTTGATTGACTTAAGAAAGTGCTAGAGAAAATGTTAACAATGCAGATTAAACTAAAAATACGTCATGTATACTTCCCCCCACCCAGAGAGCTGGGTGTTAAATATTTACCAGCATACTTCTTATTAGAGAGGATGAGAAACTCATAAACTCATATGATATATGTGATCTCTATATAGAGAAGGCAGTGTGGTATAACAGGATGCTGTTGGAGTCAATGGAGACCTAAATTTGAATCCTGCCTTAGATATTTACCAGCTGGATGATCATGGGAAAGTCACTTAGCTTCTCTGAGACTCAGTTTCCTCCTCTGTAAAATGGGATAATAATAGGACATATATTATAGGGTTGTTGTGAAGTTCAAGTTAGACAACATATGTAAAATGCTTCCCCAACTTTAAATCACTACATAATTTTAAGCTTTTATTTAAATTTTTTTTTTTTAGTTTTTAGGCAATTGGGGTTAAGTGACTTGCCCAGGGTCATACAGCTAGTAAGTGTCAAGTGTTTGGTCTGAGGCCGGATTTGAACTCAGGTCCTCCTGACTTCAGGGCTGGTGCTTTATCCACTGCACCACCTAGCTGCCCCTTAAGCCTTTATTATTGTGAGAATTAGTATGGCACTGTGGATAGAAAGGTCAACTTGCAGGAAGACCTGGCTAGTCCTACCTATGTGACCCTGGACAAGACACTTAATTTCTCCAAACTATAAACAATTGTCTAAGACTCTAAGTTGAAGACAAGGTATCAACCTGCATTGGCAGAGGGAGTTTCCCCATCTGGTCATTTATCTTTCGTAGAATAGCTGAACAATGAGGTTTAACTTAGAGGAAACATTGTAGTCTGAAAGTAAATCATTCTGAATCAGAAATTAGATCAAATCCAAAATTATTATGTGTTTGACATAGTTTCTATGATAAATCTTCAGACTTACCATGAGGAAAACTAAACTATGGGGATTGTGGTAATTGATGCCTAATACAAGTCTAAGAACACCATTTGCCTTATCTGTAATTGTGGGAACCACTGGGAGACTGAGATGGAATGTTCGGGATGGTAGGAGAAGAACCAGAAGAAATCAATGCTAGGAAGATCTGGGAAGGAGAGATTCTTTAAAGGATGTGGTCAGCAGTACTAGATATTGCAGAGAACACAAGAAGCATGAGAACTGAGAAAAGGAAACTAGACAAAGTCAATAAATGATCTTTGATGACCTTTTAGAGAAGTTTTGATAAAATGGTGGGATGGCAAACCAGATTACAAAGGGTTGAGAGGTGATTGAGAGATGAGAAAGAGGAGGCAATGAGAATAAAAAGATTTTCCTTCAAGGAGTCTGGCTGCGAAAAAGAGGAGAGATAGATGTGTGAAGATCTATTTAAAAAATTATGATGAAGTAAAAAAAAGCAGTCCATGCACATTCTTCTTTTGGACTGAAATCTGGATGTTTAGTATATAATATATTTAGTTCTAAAAGCATAAATGAGAAGAGATGGAGATGTAATGTCACAGAAAAATACTGTAGATAAAACTGCTTCCTAACTGGTAGTGAGTCTGACTTGGAAAGTTTAAATTGAAATTGAATGCAGTTGAGTAGCTTCCAAGTGTAAGGATGCTCAACAGGGCTCATAACTAATCCATGTCTATTTACTATGTTTCAAATTGATCAATTTCTCATTCTCCTCATGGATAATGAACACTGATGTCCAAGATAAAAAATCCTTCTGTAATTTTATTAGAAAACTAAATGAGCATTTCTCAAGTCTAATGGAATTTCAGAATCTGCAGAGGTCAGCTTTGAGAGTTAAATTACAAGTTCAAGGAGTTCAAATGTTGAGGCATGCATTTTTTTTGCCTTCAACTACACTGGTGTGTTTGTAAATGACTCCAAGTTTAAATTTTGTTGATTTGAAATTGAATGGACTCCTGTTTTTGAAATGACCGAACCCCTTTTTTAATAAGCACATGTCTGTTAAGACAACAAATATTTTCTTTTTCTTTCATCTTTTTCAACCACATTTTACATTTAAGTGAACTTAATGCCTCCCTGAGAGTATGCCCTTCTTTGTCACTTACCTTGAGAATGGGAATATTTTGGCAGGACTTGTTAAGGAACCTGAGAGGAGTTAGCAGCTGAAACAAGGAGTCATAGACAATTAACACCAAGGGCATAGCAACATATAGTTGGGACACTAAACTGTTCTTTCTCCTCTCCCTTTCCTCTTTCCTTCTTCATGTAGGGTTTGATGTTTGGCTATGCCACAGATGAGACAGAAGAATGTATGCCTCTCACCATTATACTTGCTCATAAGCTCAATGCCCGGATGGCAGATCTGAGGCGCATGGGGGCTCTCCCCTGGCTAAGACCTGACTCTAAAACTCAGGTAAGTCTTCCTTTGGTTCTCTATAGAGGGCCACTGAACAAAAATTTCATCAACCTCAAACTCTTCTTATATTTTGTTCCTTGACATGTCAAAATCATATACTCAGAGACACAAAGATCAATTTTTAATCTCTTTTCATTATGAAATTAACAATTATCCCCAAACACAAGCATTTCAGTATACAAAGAACAGAAGAAAGCTGGACCCAGTAGATTGGGGGCAGTCTTTTTTGCACTCTTGAGATGGGGTGGCAGTGGTAAATGAGGTATCAGAGCCCTTGTGATGGAGTTGTACTAGGCCATCCTAGCCTGGATGAGAATGAAGAGAAAGAGCAGTAGAATGGTGAAGCACTCTCCAGAAGATCTTCAAAGATGGTCAGTTCTACTACTACTACTACTACTACTACTACTACTACTACTACTACTACTGCTGCTGCTGCTGCTGCTGCTGCTGCTGCTGCTACTACTACTACTACTATTACTACTACTACTAGCTAGCTAGCTAGCTAGCTAGTAAACATTTATGTAGAGTCTTCAAAGTACTTTACCTATGTTATTTTACTTGATCCTCACAACAACCCTGAAAGATAGTTACTATTATTATGCCTATTTTATAGATGAGGTTGTGGGAGGTTAAGTGATATACTTAGGGTTGCAGAGCTAGAAAGTTTATGAGAAAAGGTTTGAATTTAGGTCTACCTGATGCAAAATCCTGAGTAATATCCACCACACCACCTTGCTGCCAGACTAGGCAATCACTAGGGGGAGGAGGATGGAGCAGGGAGAGGTGAGCCTTAAGAAGGGTAGGATCCACATTTTACAGATGAGTTGGGGGACAGGCAACATGCAGGTATAGGTAGAGGCCAGTCTGCCTCTATGTGTGTGTGGTTGCATTGGGCAACTCCCAGGATGAGCTTCCGGGAGTCAGGGCAGGAGAGGGTTAGGGATCCCTCATTGAAGGATCTTCATTGTAGAAGGTGGATACTAGGACAGAAGTGGCTTGCTGCTGTTATAGTGGCACTGGACACCTCCAAAGGAGATTGAAGGCACGGAAATAATTAGGAGTATGGTAGTGGGAAGGAATCCCAACAGTGTCTCATGGGCCAACATTGGCAGAGGACCTTAGTGCTTAAGATAACTGATTGAGCAATCATTGTTGCTCCCTTGTTCCAAGATGTTGGTGCCAGAGACTTCTGAATCACTAATTCCAGTTTTTTTCCATCCTTATTCTCCTTGACTTTTCTGTATGATACACTACTGACCGCTTCTTTCTTAGAACTTTCTTTCTTTGGCCTCCATGACACTATTTTATCATTTTCTATTCTCTGACCACTCTTTCTGTCTCCTTCTTTGGTTTTCTTTCTTCCTTCAGAGCTATAGTTAATCTCTGTATTTTTTTTTGTTACATCCAAAATTTTGGAGTCATCTTGGATATCATTTTCTTCTTCCTCCTGATATTGTTAGTCATTAAAATGGGCAATTTTCCCTTTGAAATGAGTCTCCAATTCATCCCTTTATTTTTCTATTGCCATTATTAAGATCTAAACCTTTACCACCAGACTCATATCAATACAACTCAATATAACTAGTCTTCCTAGAATGATCTCATCTTCTGCCAGGCAGTTAGGTGGTCCAATGAGAAAGACCTGAGCTTGAATCCTGCCTCTGCCACTTACTAGCTGTGTGACCCTGGGAAAGTCACTTAAACCATTTCTGTCTCACTTTCCTCATCTGTGAAATAGGGAGTTGGACTTGTTGGTCTCTAAGGTCACTTCTAGTTTTAAGTCAATGATCCTATGATTCCCTCAATCCATTCTGCACCCAGCCACCAGATTAGATTCCTTAAAGTATGACTTTCCTAGTTTCATATCTCTGCTCAAAAATTGTTTCTCGTTAAATAAAGTCCACATGATTTAGTAAGACAATCAAGTTCTTAGGCAATGAATCCTAATACGTCTTCTGAATATGATGATCTACTCTTCTGTATGATCCCTCCCCACTCTATCTCCTGAACATTCTTTCTGTTCAAACCATTCTCCCTTCCTGAAACACCTTCCCATTCTCACCCATCTTTCGGAGTTTAAGTCCTCATTTCTTGGTGAAGCCTCCTCTGACCTGACCATTCCAGGGTAACCTTTGCATCCTTTGATCTGCTACCCCTAACTCTTTGTCATGCAAATGGTTCATCCATGTGTTGCTTTCCAGTTTAGGTATTTTTATATACAATTAAAAAAATTCACCAACTAGATTGAAAGCTTTTTGAGGGCAGGGATCATCTTAAATTTCTTTTTATCATCTATAGCACTTGACACAAAGTTTTGCGTATTGCACCACTCAATTAACACTTTGGATTTGATTTTATGGCCCAGCAGCAGGAGCTTAGCTACTTTGCCTCTGGGCAGAGTTTTGAATGTGAAATTTTCAATTTATTGAACATCAGTGTACATGCTGCTTAAAAAAACAAAACAAAACAAAACAAAACGGGTAGAATGCTGTCTTCTGGTTTCTTTAGTCTTATGCACAAAATCTCAGCTAGAGATTGCATCAGCAGTGGAGATTTTCTTTTTAAAATGCCATTCTCAAGATCCTTCCCTTTGGGAATGTAACATGTTGGTAGAGATTGGGATAAGACGTTACATTTTTTTTTATTTTACCAAGTAAAATCAACAAACATGTTGTCTGTTCTTACCTGTATGTACAGATATTAAAATAGAATGGGATTCACAGAAAAGGAAATCCTGGAATTGAGCTGTAAGGAAATAAGATGAAGCACCTGAGTTTTCCTTTTTCTTGAGTGATCGATGGAAAATGAAATATATACTTGTAGTGTGTTTAATAGGAGGAGATTATCCATTTTACTTGGGTAAGAAAACAAATTACCTCCTTTGCTCCTGTGCTGAGAAATGGAATGCTTCTGGATCTGGGAAGGAGAGAGAGGGCAAACATTGATCCAAGGCCAAGTTCCTTCTGGATTTACACTTTCCTGAGGACATGAAGGATCCACATACACATTTTTTTTGACCAAGTCTTGCAAGGCTTCCTTGCTTTCTCAGTCAATTGCAACATGACTGCATTATCATTCAATATTTGTACTAGCATGGGTTGTTCCAAAGATTCCTAAAAAGGGATTTGTATGTCCCAGGCTTTTCTCCATCTAGAGATTAGACATTTGACAGTGGGAGCTTCTCTACTAATATTCCAGGTAACTCTCTGACCTCTCTTTCTTTGGTCCCATTCCCAAGGAGTTTCCATTTTCAATCAAGAATTTTTTTAGTAGTACCGATCTTAAGTTAAGAAGACAAGGCTCTGGGGCAGCTAGGTGGTGCAGTGGATAGCACTCTGGACTTGGAGTCAGGAGGACCTGCATTCAAATCCAGCCTCAGACACTTGACACTTACTAGCTGTGTGACCCTGGGCAAGTCACTTACCTGGATTGCCCCACCAAAAAGCAAAGCAAAAAAAAAAAAAGACAAGATTCAAATCCTATCTCTAACAACACCTGCTATCTGTGTGATCTAGGGTAAGTGTCTTAACTTCCCTGAGCCTCAGTTTCCTCATCTGTAAAATGTTTTGATGGCCTCTGTGGTTCCTTCCAGCTCCAGATCTATGATCTTATAAGTCCTTTCTGAACAACATTGTGCTATTTATTATTGATGATCAGATGACAGCAGGAATGACTAAGAGTGTTGTTGTTGTTTTTTTTAAGAGTGTTGTTTTTTAATTGTTATTTAATCACTAAGAGTGATTCTTTATGACCCCATTTGGGATTTTCTTGGCAAAGATATTGGAATGCTTTGCCATTTCCTTCTCCAGCTCATTTTATAGATTAGGAAACTGAGGCAAACAGGGTTAAGTGACTAGCCCAGGGTCACACAGCTAGTAACTGTCTAAGGCTGGAATTGAGCTCAGGAAGAGGAGTCTTCCTGATTCCAAGCCCAGTGCTCTATCCACTGCCCACCTAACTGCTCTATAACTAAGAGCATGTATGTTTTTTTTTTCACCTGGCTAGTGTAGCATTTGTATTATTCTTCATAATGATAGATATTAATTATCCTTGTTTCCCTCTTCCCTCCTATCCCTACTTACTTCAAAGGTCTACCATGAAGATCCATTGGGCTCTGGGCTGTAGCACTGCAACTAGGCTATTTCTCTTATGATCAAAGAGAAATAGATTTTTTTTTGGCAATACTCTGATTTTTCCAGAACACATTTCTTGTGGTTTAAAGCTAGTAGCCACATTTCTTTATCTATCTATGAAATGGCCACAAAATAAGGATTTGAGAGAATGCTGAGACTGTAAAGGACGTGCCAAAGTCCTCTTAGAAGCAAAGATCTAGATTTGGAAGTGACTTCAGGTAATATTTGGTCCAATCCCCTCATTTTAGAGGAGGTTGATTAAGTCACAGAGGAGTGAAGTCGCTTGCCCAAGGTCACAGAGCTAGTAAGCATCAGAAATGGGATTTGAACCCAGGTCCTCTGACTTTAGAACCAGTCTTCTTTGTATCAAGTCTACTCATACATGGTGAGTTTCAAGCATGATTCTGCCTGAAGGCTGAAACACAAACTTCTCAAACTCTTTTTTCTAAGCCCTAGGATTTGGGGATCATGCTCTTGGCATGCAGGAATTCAAGAGATCATGTAATCACATACTCAAATACCTTGGAGCCCATGCAGCTCAGCCTCCTTATTTTACAGATGAGGAGGCAGGCCCAGAGTGCTGAAGGGACTTCCCCAACATCACACAAGTAGCAAGTTGCCAGGCCAGCTTTCCAATCCAGGCCCTCTGCCTCCAAATCTAGCACTCTTTCAGTGTATTCATACTTCTAAATAGACCAACGTTGGGGGTGGGGTTGGGTTGGGTGGGGAAGCTCCCAACACCTGGGAAACTTTTTAGTCATATTTTCTTTGTGAGTTAGGAAGTCTTCATTGAAGTCAACCACTTCCATTTTTGACTCAGATCTGGTACCACCTCCTCCAGGAAGCCCCCTTGGCCAGTCCAGCCCTTCTAGATCTCCTTTCCATAAGATTTAGCATTTAGTTGTATCCTGTTGTTTTAGGAACATATATCTTGCCTCTCCAGCTTTTTGAGGGCAGGGGTCATTTTATACTTTTGTTTCCTTTCCAGTGTCTAGTATGGGACTGAACCCATACTGAGTGCTCATACCTACTGTTTGGTTGATTGATATGTTAGATGCCCTGGGCAGACTGTGTTACAAATCCCTCTTCCAATAAGTTGTTTGCATGGATACCTCTATAGATGAAATAGGGTGGGATGGAGGTTAACTGTTGAATATCTCCAATTAAAGTGTAGACATCAGCAGTAGGTGAGAGAGACTTCCTTTTTGGTAATGGAGACTTCTGAAATAATATTATGCTTTGATGAAAAACTGACCCTGATCATAAACATGACTGTACTTTTAGATGATTGAAGGGTGGGATAGAGCATTCTCCCTGAATCCATGCCACTGCTTGATCCCTGAGGGAAGATATGTTTATTACTACAGCTGACGAAGGTCTACGCCTAGGTGCTGCTAGTGTGGAATATGCATGTTCTATTATCAGAGGTTTTTTCTTGTACTTGATACCCATCTACCAGGAAGCCTTATTCCTCGAGATCCTTACCCACTAGACAGTCTTAGACTTTGTCTCCCTCTTATTCTGTAACCAAGATGCTCAGATGATGGAGATTCAGAATCTATTTTTTTTCCTGTGCCTTTGCCCCTTCACCATGACTGGCCCAGATTTCCACCCATTCACACCTGCCATATAGTCATGCCCACTCATTGTGCATGACCCAGAATGCTTGGTAAATTCAGAATATTTGAACTTGAGTATCAGGGAACAGCTAAGCATTCTGTTGAAGATATTCTCAGTTAAGATAGCTGAATATAGGTATGGCAGAGGGAGCCTCAGTCCTTGGCTATGAAGGGTACATGGGTTACTTCAGCTATTAGAGAGTTGGGGCTAGTATTTAACCTATTAAATGCAATTTTCCATCTTACTTAGGACACAACAGCAAAAAGCCTTAGACTGAAAGGAATGCCATAGAAGCCTAACAGAATGGGAGGAAAAAAACTACCTGGTTTAATAATAATAATAGGGGGCAGTTAGGTAAATAGAGTGGAAAGAGTTCTGGGCCTAGAGTTAGGAACTCATCTTCCCAAGTTCAAATCTGACTTCAGACACTTACTAGCTGTGTGACTCTGAGCAAGTCCCTTAACCTTATTTGCTTTAGTTTCCTCATCTGTAAAATGATCTGGGTAAGGAAATGGCAAACCATTCCAGTATCTGTACCAAGAAAATGTTAGAAGGGGCCACCAAGAGTCAGACGCAACTGAAATGATTGAACAATGACAAGTCAATAATAATAATAATTCAAGTTATTTATGTGAATTATTTGCCATTTATGGCTAATTACATGTAACTCCATAGCAATTATTTGTCATTAAATATTTATCAAACGCATTTGTCTATTATGTCATATCCTTATATGTGCTGCTGCATTATAAGAAGAGTGTCACAGAACCTTGTATTTAGTGAGTGCTAGCTAAATGTTTGTTGAATTAAATGGAATTTATTTAGGGTGGTCACTTCTTTCAATTATACAGATTAGAACTCATCTATATCTTAGTGAATCAGTAGACTCTTGTGACTTGCTGTGGACAGAAACATCTGACACTTTGGGGTCACCCTTCTCCTTACTAGCTGTGTGACCCTAGACAAATCACTTCACTTCCTGCTTGCCTCATTTTTTTCATCTGTAAAATGGGGATAATAATAGCTCTTACCTCCAGGATTGTTCTGTAGATAAAATAGTAGCATTTGTTAAGTGCCTTGTAAACCTTAAAGTGTCATATAAATGTAAACAATTTTATTATTATTGGTAGTGGTGATATTATTTTAAATTTAGCCAGGCTGACTCTTGGACGACAGAAATGTGGTATGATCTTCTATTTTTTTTTTTCTAATTTGGTAGGACCTGACAGAGCCTGTCCTTTTCTTGTATAGCCTTTGAGAATACTGGGTTACCTTCTTGCTGTAAGGAGACAGGAGAGAATAAGATCTTGTGTACTTAACCTTTATAATCTGTCACCCATTTTGTACCAATATGGTACAACTGTTCACAACATGGAAGGAACACAGATGACAATCACCTTGTTCTTCTTCCATGCAGGTCACTGTCCAGTACATCCAGGACAATGGGGCTGTCATTCCCGTGCGTATTCACACCATTGTGATCTCGGTGCAGCACAATGAGGACATCACTCTAGAGGACATGCGCCAGGCTCTAAAGGACCAAGTGATCCGAGCTGTGGTGCCTTCCAAGTATCTGGATGAAAGGACAATCTACCACCTGCAGCCCAGTGGGCGTTTTGTCATTGGTGGGCCACAGGTACCTTACTTATCTTTACATGCTAGCATCCAAGTCGAGCAGTCATTTGCCTTGTTGATTCTATTCCATACCACAGATTGAACATTTGTTCTATCTACCTATCTATCTATCTATCATCTATCTGTCTATCTATCTGTCTGTCTGTCTGTCCATCTATCTATATATCTATCTATCTGTCATTAAAAGAGGTGATCTTTAAGTGTTTTGTAAACCTTAAATATTTTATTATTATCATCTATTTTCCATGAATGAAAATCTATTCACTCTCTCTCTCACATTCACCCTTTGTTAGAAAAAAAAAGAGAAAAACAACCCTTCTCTTTTTGAAACAAATACGCATAGTCGAGAAAAATAAATAACTGCCTTGGCTATATTAAAAATATGCATCAATCTGCACCTTGTCAACCACTTCTCTGTTAGGAGGTAGGTAGCGTGCTTCATTACGGTTGGCATTTTTTAGCTCCATACCCACATGCATGGTCAGGGAGGCAGAGGAGTTGATTTGAGGTGGCACTGTGAGGTCTGCCGCTCGCTGAAGTTGGGAAATTATCTTTATCTCTACTTTCCACAATCTCAGGAACAAGTCTAACACTTCTTCCACATAACAGGCCTTCAAATACTTGAAGGCAGCTATCATGTCCCCCCACTTCTCTTCTCCAAGCCAAAACATTCCCAGTTCTTTCAATATCCTGGCTCCATTGTTTATGGATATGTGATTAAATTATTTAATCCCTCTAAGTTTTAGTTTCTCATCTACTGAAAAAAAGGGATATTCTACTTTCCTTCCCATGGGAAAATACTTTGTTAAGTATTAAAGGGCTATATGCATTTAATAATAATAATAACAGCTAACATTTATATAGAGCTTTAAGGTTTACAATGCGCTTTACAAAAGTTATCTTATTTGATCTTTACAACAACATTGGGACGTAGGTGCTATTATTTTCCCCATTTTACAGACAAGGAAACTGAGGTACAGAGAGCCTGAGTCTTGTCCAGGCTCACACTGCTAATAAGTGTCTGAGGCTAGATTAGGATTCAGGCCTTCCTTACTCCAAGTCCAGCACTCTATCCACTGTGCTGTCTAGCTGGCTGCCTCCATCACTGTCATATATATTATTCTTGCACCATCCTATCCTAGGCAGAGGATCCTGGGTCTTATTTCTCATTGTTCTTGCTAAGAGGTTAACTGGAAACTAGGATATTAGCTGATTCAGTTTTAAGCAGAGGTACCTGCTCACCCTCCATATTATTTGCAAGAGTCTTAAAGATTCAAAGAAAAGAATGAAGGTAAAAAGGTAAACAGCAATTAATAGCACTGGTGTCCTGGAGCAGGTGACCTTGCCTGGTGCCACTTTGATTTGTACCACATCTATTAGCTCCTGTTCTGCATACTTGTGTGGCTGGTGTTAACCCGACTTAGGAGGCCTGAAGTCAGTGCAATCAGTAGAGACCCCTGGAGAGTTGTCCTAAACACCACTGACCCAATATCACCATCTAGTGGAGAATTCTCGGCACTAACAGTTTCTTTGTAGGTCTGGTTTTCTCTTTGAGAATTATTTCATTAGTCATCATCTGGTCTCCCCCTGCTCCCTTCCCCCCACCCCAACCTTTCACTTTACAGATGAAGAAACTGAGGTCCGAAGGGGAGATGTGACTTTACTAAGATCAATAGAGGCAGTTGCTTTCCTGAGTTCTGACCTATCAGTGGTGGCCACAGTGTAGGAAAATGGAACTTTGCCCAAAGTATTCTTGTGAGCTCCTTGAGGGCAGGAACTGACTGTCTTTGGCTTCTTTTTGCATCCTTGGAGCTTAGCACCGTGCCTGGCACATAGTAGATACTCAATAGATATCGATTGTTGGTTATTTCTCAATCTGAAACTGATCATATGACCCTTATTCTTGCCTCCCTGCAGGGGGATGCAGGAGTCACTGGCCGGAAGATCATTGTGGACACTTATGGAGGCTGGGGGGCTCATGGAGGAGGAGCCTTCTCTGGGAAGGACTATACCAAAGTGGACCGCTCTGCAGCCTACGCAGCCCGTTGGGTGGCAAAGTCACTAGTGAAAGCCAAACTGTGTCGGAGAGTTCTGGTGCAAGTATGTGGGCACTTTCTCCTTCCTCTCCACCCTCTCCCTCCAAATGCCTTTTCTATTTCAGGGGCCAGTTCCTGATTAAAATCTGTGATTTCGGGGATGCTAAAGGCTAAGGTTGTTTTCCGTCAGTCAGTCTTTCATCTGCAGAGTTCCATCTCAACCCATGCTGTCCTTTCCCCTTGTATATTGCTCTTAGGATGAAGAGAGAAGACTGAAAAAAGACCTTATTTCAGCCTTAAGGATCTCAAACCCAGCAGTATTTGTGGTAGAGTGGTTAGCCTTAAGGTAGTATAATAGATGCTTTAGATTGCTCGATTTTATAAAGACCTGGATTATGATGAGGAATGATGAGGAATGGGAAGAGGTAAAACTAGGGTGGGACAATGGGTGATTTGTCTAAGGGTGTCAAAATTTGGAGGTTCTGATAGAACTTACATGCTATCAGAACACAACAAATGAAATTAGCACCTATCTAGTATCACTAGTTAAAATAGGAAGCTAAATGATGGCTCACTTCCTTATCTTGGTCTCCCTTGCAAAAGCCTATTTCTGCCCATATGGGCAGTGGCTTAGAGTCTATTTTCCTCTGGTCCTGAGGTATATCCATGATATGTCTCTTCTACCTTCATCTCAATTGAATTTGTTTTTTAAAAAAAATTATATAAGGGCATCTTTTATGCTGCTTACCCTAGCTGCCAGAACTGCTAACTGTGGCTTTGAGGATGGTAGAGACTTCTAGCTGATCTGTCTTTTGTGCCTTATCTCCTTATGAAGGTTTCTTATGCAATTGGTGTGGCTGAGCCTCTCTCAATTTCCCTGTTCACCTATGGGACCTCCCAAAAGACAGAAAAAGAGCTGTTAGATGTGGTGAATAAGAATTTTGATCTTCGTCCTGGAGTCATTGTCAGGTAATGACCTAGTAGTTTCAGAGTTCCCATGAGTGGGCACACATGCGCGCGCGCACACACACACACACACACACACACACACACACACACTGTTTTTTTGTTTTTGTTTTTGGTGAGGCTATCGGGGTTGTGACTTGCCCAGGGTCACATAGTTAGTAAGTGTCAAGTGTCTGAGGTCAGATCTGAACTCAGGTCCTCCTGACTCCAAGTCCGGAGCTCTATCTATCCACTGTGCCACCTAGCTGCCCCCACAGACACATTTTTTAAAGAAGTAATAATCATTTTCCCCTTTCCAGTTTACTTTTATTGTCCCCCTCCACTCCTCATTTACTAAAGAGGAAACAAGACAGATGATTTTCTTCCTTCCGGAATTATGGTTTTTGGAGGAAGAAGGAAAATGGAAAGGCCATGAAGGAATCTCGTGATTCTAACAGGTAGAGCTGAGCAGGAAGGGCATTCTGGGCAAGTGGGAACATCTAGGGCTAGGCATGTCCTTGTGTCCTCACATGTGGAAAATCAAGAAACCCCCAAGTGTGTGTGGATAGGATTAATGTGCAGTCAGCCTAGCAAAGTAGACTGGATTCAGGTTGTGAAAGATTTTTGCGAGCTGAGGAAGCTTGTAGCTTTTTCCAAAGGTAATAGGGAACCATTGAAAATTCTTGAGCAGGGGGTGACATGGCCATAAAAGATGGCAGAGCATGGCATAGGGAATAATAATATCAACAACTTTTTCATTGTGGTAGCATACCTAAGTCTTCTAACAAAGAGTTTTCATGACACCCCAAACCTCAAACTTTATAAAATAATAATAATAATAACAATAATGTATTTTATAGTGTTTTGTAGTTTGCTTTACCTGTGTTAACTCATTTGATCCCCACAATCATGATGTGAGGCAGTTACTATTACTCTCCCCAACCAATATACAGAATGAGAGTATTCCTTACTTGGTTCTCATGTTTACATTGCATGTGACTCATGGAATGAAATTCTAGAGTAACAGAACATTTTCTTTCCTTTTGCTGAATTCTTAGGGACCTTGATTTGAAGAAACCAATTTATCAGAAGACAGCATGCTATGGCCATTTTGGAAGAAACGAATTTCCCTGGGAAGTTCCCAGGGAGCTTGTATTTTAATGTTGTCAGGAACCAGGCAGTCTCTTGAAGAGAGCACAATAGGATTCCACGTTGCAAGATGGCCCCGGATTTCCACTCCCTTTGACCTCTATATGCAGATCAGAGAGCTACACCATACCGACAGTCTACTTATTATCTCTATTGGATCTGGTTCTGTTCTTCGCCACTGTCCCGAGTTAGTGGCAAAGCCAACCTATCCTTAGCATGTTGCCATCAATAGAAAGCCTGGTAGAATTCATCTTTCTAGTATTGCTAGGTCAGACCTGTTTGTAAAGATGATAATGATTTTCCTTCAACTGTTGATTCTGACCTAGGACAATTTGATTGATTTTAAAGGAAAGGCATATATCCAGACTGTATACATATGCCCATTGCCAATCCCTTTATCACTAGGTGGCAATGGTGGTAGTGGTATTTGGAATTGGTCCAGATATATTTTTCTTACAATGACATCTTGGGTTCTTTGTAGATCAGTCTCCCTTACTTGCCATATATCAAACACAAGAATTTCCCAAATGGGTCAATATCCCAAAGATTTGGCCTTATATTTGGGAGATAATCCCTACACCAGGGGGTCTTACCTGGGGGCCCCAAGGGAATTCATGAATAGATTTCCCAAAAAGCCCTACATCTTTATTTTCACAAACCTCTAACTGAAATATATACCATTTCCTATAATGATTTAAAGACATTATTCTGAGAAGGAGTCACTAGACTTCATTCACCAGGAACTGCCCAAGGGACAGTTAAGAACACCTGAACTACACCGAAAAGTTCTTATCTAGGGAGGATGTGTGATGCAAAGAAGAGATACTTGGATTTGGAGTTAGAAGTCCTGACTTGGTCATTTAGTATCTCTATTACCTCTGGCAAAGCTCTTAAGTCCTGTGGGCCTCAGCTCCCTCAACTTCCAGTTCTAAATCTATTATCATAGGAGCTCAGGTACCATGTCAAATCCAGTTCAGGGTCATGCTTCTGAAGTCTCAGGCCCCTTCCTGTTCAGCCCTCTCTTGGTGCTCTGGACCAGGTTTCTGTCAAGAAGCAGGCCTCATAGAAAAAGCAGGTTTGAATGGTACCGTAGCCCAGTGCCTTGCACATAGTAGGAGCTTAACAAGTGTTTATTGAATTGACTGGGAAGGGGGACTTCCTTGAAATATGTCCATATCTGTCTGGAGAGAGGACCGGTGCTTCTGTGGCTAATTGATAATCAATGATCCTCATGATTCAGTGTATAAAAGGAGGCAAGGCCAGGAAGAGAAGGTAAAGAAGTATTTATTTCTGTCTCAGAATATTTCACACAAATTATACAATGTGTTATCTAGCAAGAATATCCCGGAGGTGGCTCTTGGAGGGAGAGTGGAGAATAAGAATCGGTGAAAAACTAGAAAGACTAAAGCATAGACTAAAAAACTAGGAGGAAACCTTGCTAATCAAGAAATCCAGAGGCAGCTAGGTGGTGCAGTGGATAGAGCACCGGCCCTGGATTCAGAAAGACCTGAGTTCAAATGCAGCCTCAGGCACACAACACTTACTAGCTGTATGACCTTGGGTAAGTCACTTAACCCCCATTGCCTAGTCAAAAAACAAACAAACAAACAAAAAAAAAACCCAACAACAACAAGAAATCTACCAGATCAGGAGTCTGTGTCACTCGAGGGCCAGCTCTGGGGCCCAATTTCCATACAGCTGCTGCTGCTGTTGTTAGGAAGATGAATCCTGAAAACTCATTTTGAAGAGACTTACGTTCCTTGAAGAGGAAATAGCAATGAAGCAAGTTCTTTACTAGAAAAATCACATTTATTAGGCACCTAAGTGTTTTTCATGTGAAGGCCTGCCAAACCCCAAACTGTGATTGTACTTTCATCTTCTCGCCTGCTACTTTCTAAAGACACATTGGAGAAATGATAGTTTTTAATTAAATGCATCTACAGGTTACCATGAAACCATGGCTAATAGGCAGGCCAATTGTAAAGGTCACGCTGATTTTTGAATGTATAACACTAAGCTACATAAAGTAACAGATGTAATATACCTCAGCTTCTACTCCCTCCTTTTTCTACCCAAAATGAATGTGAAAATCAACTCAGACACTGAAGAAAGTTCTGATTTGAACCAAGGATGCTGTGATGAATCAGAACGGTCTATCATCTCCAAATTTAATTCCCTGTTCCTTCAAAGCAAGACTCTTTACCTGATACCCCATTGCCCTTACAGCTGTAAACTCACCTGCTTTTCATCAATTACTTAATTGCCTAGGAAACTAAAAACTTCCAATATCTCTTTGTCATTGACAACCAATAATGTTCTGTCCTTTAAATTTCGCTTCACATCTACCTAGTCATCGATGCACTTTAAAAAAAAATGGCCCTAGAGAAATAGCCAGGATAAGACTTTCTTTCAGACCTATCAATTTCTAAGTATTTGCCAAGAATACCAGTATTAGGCAGCTGACAAAAGATAAGTCATCTATCTGCTCTGATCATTGCCACAGGAAATGGAGTTTTTCTTCACCTTAATGAAAGGGTTCTGAGAGATGAGATTCTCATTCAATTCTCATCTCATTCAGTGGGCAAAGAAGCCCATCGGTTAGTGGGAGAGTATCTCTGTACTTGTCGTATGACACCAGCTGAACTTATTATTTTTTTTTCATATCCATGGCAAGATGTTGCCTGACTACAGAAGGAAAATTTATCCACAAACCCCTCGAGCCAAAATGGAATGCAGAAATGCCATGCGATAGCTCAATAATATTTTACCGAAAAGTCCCTGTGCTTCTAACAGGGCATTACATTTAGAGACAGATTTGGCCTTGGCTAAGCTCTACTTTTTAAGTGCCAAAGGAATAAGTGAGCTGATTTTTTGTTGACTCTTCCTTTCCAGAAATATAAAGAGTAAGTTTATTTCTGAGCCTATTTGCAATTCATCGATTTTTCTACTTTCTCGCCTACCCCCATCAAAGATTTTTTTTTTTTAAGGAAAGGTATTTGTATGAAACTAACATCTTTCCTCCTTAATATTCAGCTCCTGCTAGTTCTGTATATAATAAATAAAATTTCAAAAAATATTAGTCTTGGGCTTACTCTTTGCCATTCTTCAAAGTCTTCCAAAATAGAAGATGGGAAAAAGCAGAATAATAAGCAAGATTGCACTTTGAAATGTAAACAAAGGGGCCAACTTCTGGATAACTACAATTTTATCTGTACTCTATCATGTCTATTTTCCTATTTTCCCCTCAGATATTTCCCCAAGTTTTACAGGTCATAATGGTTGACTATGCAATGCTGGGTAAAGGCACTAAATCAAATTGAACGCCAAATATACAAGCACACTCCACCATCATATCACTGTATACAGATTGCTGTATACTGCTGAAAGGAACTGAAGGCTGGAGAAAATGTGCAAGGTCAAGTAAAGGAGAATAAGCGAACTTGTTGAACTACTAATGCTTCCTTTCTTTAGGTTCAATTTTAACCTTAATGTCAAAATATAAAAAATACAAGTTTTCTAGAATGAACAAATATGCCAGTATACTGACCTTTGTGTACCTTCCCCCAATATGAGCTTTGTACATTTGTGTGTAATATATATCCATATATATATATGTACACACATATATACACACAACCATACATGCGGTGTATGAGTGTTCAAGGAAAACTAGTATCTCCTATGGTGCTAGGACAAGCATATTACCATACCAGGACAATCACTTAGTATAAGTGCTTGCTGAGTCCTTTTTAGGGTTGCTAATCCACCTTTGGTGTCCACCTGTCTCCCAAACTCTCTCACTTGTGGTACCAAGAAGCTGTGGCATGCAGTGGACCTATCCTGGTAAATCCATCTCAGCAGATGGGCTAAATTGAGTTCAGAGTAGCTGACAGGCCTCAAACCTGTCAGTGAGTTAGGGGAATGTCTACTCCAAGACTTCGCCTGGTGGAATGGGGAATTTGTTCCAATGGCTACGAAGGTTGCTGAAGCAGGCACTGTGGAGCACTTAGAGCTTGGTCAGATAATCCAAGATGCCAAGGTCATCCACTGCATCCTAGGCCGTTGCCAGTCATCCTGACTTTTGCCTTGTCACTGGACTATGATGACTCTGGAAGAGAGAGTGAGGCTGATGACTTTGTGCAACTCTGCCTCACTGAAATCCATTCATTTCACGAGTCAAACATCATCCTGTGATATCATTAGTCCTCTTCAAAAACAAAGTTTGAATAATAACATACATACATATATATGTACATACACATTTGGGGGCAATGCTCTATAAACTTTAAAGTGTTAGAAAACCATAAATTCCCCTCTTCCTCCTCTATTTCTTTCTCCTCGTCCACCCTCTCCTTTCTTCCCATGCTCTTCCTTCTTCTATCCCTCTCCTACTTCTCTCTCTTCATCCTCCTTCCTTGTCCTTCTCATTTTCTTCTGTTTTCTCTTTCTCCTTCTTTCTCTTCCCTCCTCCTTCTCCTTCAGCTCCAAGAATCTACAATTTGTTGGTACACATTCACCAACATAGACTGCAACCCCACTTTGCGATAGTAGATGCTCCTTGTGAATTACTGCAGCTGAAAAACTTCATCCCTTTGTGGCCGTCCTGGTGTTGAACTGTGCCTCTGCACTTGGCTTGGCTGCTGCTTAGATGATAGATAGACATTTGGCAGGCCTGTACTTGAAAGTCTGTGAATTTGGAAGGACCCACCAAGCTAGGTCCTCCCATAGCCTTCAAGAACCCAGGGCCACCTCCAGAATATGATGAGGCAATAGAGAGCTCTGGTGTGAACATACAGAGACATGCGCATCCTGCTCCTCCAGAAGGTCTAGATTCATCTTCTGGAAAATCAGTCATGAGAATCTCCCCACCTCCTATCCTACTGGGATGGTGATCCCTTAGTGAGAAAATTCCTAAATATTTTTCAGGTCCCTCAAATGCTATTTCAGCTTTTCTTGGTGCTGAGATCAGCATGTCACGTGGTAAGGTTTTAAGAAATTATTTTAGAGATGTTTTGGGGTTTTGTGAGGATTTGGGGGCTTTTTTTTGGAAAGGGAAATGGCAACCTTGGATAACTTCTTGAAACTTGTGACTCCAGGAAAAGACCTATTCCTAGGTAATCTATAGTTTGTTCTAGGAGTAATACAGGTTGGGGACTGGTTCTTTCACTCCTGGCTATAGACATATCACCTAAAGATAAAACCTACCTTCTCTCAATTTTGCCATATGCTTGAGTTGCTCTCTCTCTCTTTCCTTGTTTATTGAGCAGTTCTTTGAAGGAATAATTTACATTTACTGTCTCTTTTGCTTCAACACCCTCCCCATTTTATAATGAAAGCTCTCTCTTTGGTGTCATCAGTGGCCTCATTAGTTGCCAGATGCAATGGCAATCCTTCCTCATTCTCCTTCAACAAGTGTTTATTAAGTGAGAGAGGAAGGATGGTTCACAGACATTTGGCCTTTGAGGAAGGAAGACCTGAATTCAGGTCTTACCTCTAACATCCTGTTCTGAGAAGTGAATATTCTAAGTCACAGGAAAGTGCCAAGCTGTACTAGTCAGAATTTCCTTATCTAATATCCCTGTGATCATGAAATCATTTGTCCTGGCCCTGTCTTTATCTCTATCCTCTCCAGTCGTCCTGATCTATGTCTCACCACTGGACCCGGATGGCTCCAGAGAAAGTGAGGCTGGTGAGTTTTCACAGCCCTCTGTCACTTAAATCCAATTCACTTGCAAGTCATGGCATCGCCTTCCTGATGTCATGGTCCTCTTCGAAGGACAAACAACAACAACTATTTTGGTAGGAGCTGGGGGTACAAAGACAAAAGGCAGGAGCAACTGAGGGTCAGGGGCACATGTAAATAGATAAGAAAATTCAAAGTAAATACAAAGGAGTTTTGGGGGTAGAGATCACTACCAACTAGGGAATGAGGGAAGGTTTTGTGTGTGAGGTAGCACATGAGCTGGAACTAGAAATTTCAAGAGGCCTGGGATGAGGAGAGAGTGTTCCAGGCACAGTCAGGAAATGGAATGTTGTGTATGGGGAATAGTAAGTATGGCTAGAATGTATGATGCATAAAGACAAATGATGTGGATTAAGTTTGGAAAAAGAAACTAGATCTAGACAGGGCTTTACATAACAAACAGTGGGGTTGGCATTTTATTCTAGGGGGAATGAGGTAATGAAATTTCTTGAGTAAGGAAGTGATGTGGTCAGACCTATGCTTTAGGAACAATAATTAGGTAGTTGTGTGGAACAGAGATGTCAGACTCCCAGTGAGGGAACAATATTAAGATGTAATTGGGTAATGTTTAACAAAAATGAATTAAATACAATGTAGACAATGTTAATTTGTGGTTTTCTAAGTCAATACGGTCTGGAGGATAAATTGGAGAGGAGTCAGATTTCAGGTTTTTTGTTGCAGTTCAATCATTTCAGTTGTGTTCGACTCTTTGTGACCCCGTTTAGGGTTTTCTTGGCAAAGATACTGGAGTGCTTTGTCATTTCCTTCTCCAGCTCCTTTAACAG